ACAACGACCACAGCGGCCCCAACCACAACCATCGCTGCTCAGACAAATACAACAGCTGAACTTACGACTACCACAGCTAATCCGACAACAACAGCTGCAAGTACAACAACCACAGCCGCCCCAACCACATCCACAGGAACCTCAACCACAACAGCTGCTTTACAGACAGTTACAACAGCTGCACCTAACAGTACCACAGATGATCCAACCACAAGAGTTGGAATTACAACAACCAAAGCTTCCTCAACCACATCCACAGGGACCCCTACCACAACGAATGCTGCATCGACAACTACAACAGCTGCAACTACCACAACCACAGCTGGAGCTACCACAACCATAGCTTTACCTACAACTACAACATCTGAAACTCCCACAACAGCTGAACCAACCACAAAAACAGATGCTCTTACTACAACCACAGCTTTACCTACAACAACCACAGCTTCCCCAACCACAACCTCAGCTGCCCCGACAACAACTAAGGTTTCCCCAACAACTACAAGAGCTGCCTCAACCACAGCTTCCGAAACAACTACCACCGCTGCATCGACTACTCCCACACTTACCCCAACCACAACCACAGCTGCCCCAAAAACAACCACAGCTGCCCCAACAACAACCGCCGCTTCCTCAACCAAAACCACAGCTGATAAGATCACAACTACAACAGAAATGTCTTCAACTCCTACCACCATTGTTTTGACTACAACTACATTAATTACAACTGAAGCTCCTGGACCAGTGTTTGCCATTCAAGCAACTTTTTTTGAACCATATGTTCCAGAACTTGCAAACACAAACAGCGAACCATTCAAAAGACTGAGTGACAAAATAACAAAAATGGTGATTATATGTTAAAATATTTTTTAAACGTATCTTTTGTTCACATGTATTCACACTAAATTGGTGTTAATGTGACTTCTTGACAGTTTGACAAGATCTACAAAGAAATATTTGGCTTCTTCTTCATTCGAAGTTTTGTCATTGAATTCAGGTAAAAAAACATTTCTTCCACTTTCCTCCACTTCCTTCTCTTTTACATTGTAATTGATATTGACATTTATCTGTTGTATTATTGATAATGGCTAATAATTCTAATACTTATGTATATATGTATATGCGTATATTTCTGCAGACGAGGTGCAGCCAGATCACGAATGGAGAATACTGAAGCAGAAATGGGACTTGAGTTCCATAAAACAATTAATGAAATACCAAAGCAGGAAGCTGTTCAGGAAGTTTTGGTTAAAGCTGCAAATACCAGCAGCTCAGAGTTTAATATTACAATTGCTACAGGCTCTATCACAATTACAAGTAAGTAAATGTGATGATGCTTCGGATCTCTTTTTTTCAGTCAATTAGAAGGGAATTGTTGATAACCTATACTCAGATTATTGAATTATATTTGTGGGTAGAACATTTCCTTTAAAGAATGTTTTACATTTTGAGTCCATACGGAATAAGATCTGCGAAAATCTTTAATTCTTTTTCATATTTTTGATTTCATGTCCATGACATTTTCTTTCTTGGCAAGCTCTTATACTACATAAACATATTGTGTGCCACAGCTACGCTGTTATAATGATTTGAGATGCAAGATTATATTTTTTTAAAAGAATCACATCCTATGCCAATATGTCTTATTTACAGAGCTACCTGGAAATTCAAATGCAAATTTAACCACAGTAATGACACCTACCAGTGCTGCAGAAACAACTTCAAGTGCGACAAATGCAGCGACCATGAACACAACTATCCCAACGAACACTACAATCATCCCAAAAAACACCACAGCTACCCCACCAACAACCACAGTTACTCCTCCAACAACCACAGTTACACCAACAAACACCACAGCTACCCCAACAAACACCACAGATACCTCACCAACAACCACAGTTACCCCACCAACAACCACAGTTACCCCTCCAACAACCACAATTACCCCTCCAACAACCACAGTTACACCAACAACTACCACAGATACCCCAACAAATACCACCTATACCCTACTAACAACCACAGTTACCCCTCCAACAGCCACAGTTACAACAATAAACACCACAGTTACCCCACCCACAACGACAGTTACCTCAGCAGTAACCACAGTTACTCTAGCAACGACCACGGCTACCCCAGCAACGACCACAGTTACCCCAGCGACGACCACTGTGTCTACTCCTCCGACAACAACTGAAGCTCCTGCACCCATATTTGTGCTGGCAGCAGTTGTAGTTGAACCATTTGTTCCAGAACTCAATGACAGAGACAGCCAACCTTTTAAGGTTCTTGAACGGAAGGTGACATTTATGGTGAGTACAATGTTTTACGTGTATTTTGGGAGTTCAGACATATCTTCAAATTAACTTAAAATGAAATTCATTCTGTGTTTCTATGTGACTTCTTGCCACAGTATGATGTCATCTACAGAGCTCAGTTTGGTTTGCTTTTCATCCGCAGTTTTGTCATTGCATTTAGGTAAGTTTTCACATTTTGTAGACCCACTTCCTTTTCTTTAGTAAGAAAATATATATCCAAATATGAAACAGCAAACATACATATTTCCACCAGATCTCAGTTGTATTTCTTTTAACTTCA